ACGGGGTGATCAAACTTCGTATTTTTACGTTTCAAACCATTTTACATCGTTTCCAAGCAAAATCGAGACATACATCGATTACAATGCTTCCATTCCGAAGCAAAAATGAGTCAAATTGGCCCACTCATTTTCGAGATATGAGACCTCATTGATTGACAAAAAAAATTGAATATCTCCAGAACTACTACGCCGATAGAGCCCCAATGTAATCGGAACCGTCCCTATCGAAGGACGAAAATGTTCTCAAAATTTCAAGTTGATATGCCCATTTTTGCGGAGGCTAGAGCGCGTACAACGGTGTTTTGGAAAAAAACAGAAATGCGGAAATATCTCGAAAACTTTATACCGACGGCTATATTGGTTTGGATTGATCTAGATAGAGGCCATCGAGGCAACCATTTTAAAAGAAAAAATAGTTCAATCGGCGGACTAGCTTTGCAAGTATTTACAAAAAACGTTTGAAAAAGAAAAGGCTATTTCTTGGGAACTATTGGACTGATCGAGCGGATTCTACGACCAAGTAGGATCTATCATTTGACAAAATATCATATTTTTTGGAATTTTTTCTGTTCTCTCATTTTCTAAAATTTAATTTCCCAAACTCGGTGAAAGAGGGAGGGACATACAGACATGGTCCTCAAATATCGTATTTTTACGTTTCAGACGATTCTGCATCATTTCCAATGAAAATTAGAAAAAGTCAAAATTGAACGATTACAAAGCTTCCTTTCGGAAGCAAAAATTAAGAAGAGCAAGAAATCTAGACATGGAAATAATCATAGGCACTTGAAAAGAGACTCTGATTCTGATGAAAACTATGGACACAGGAAGAAATGGAAGCTTTGAGGCACTCCAAGTGAAGAAGCAACGTACTCTCAGCGTATTTAAAATGGACTGCAAAGGATTTCGAGCAATTCATTGAGTAATAGTTTTTCGTTGCGTTCCAACATTCTGTAATGTTCTTTTTTGTGCATTTTCAATGAGTGAGTATTAAAGTTCATTAAAATATTTCTCCTTCATACGAGTTAACAAGTCTTATTCCTCTTCGGACCCGTCTGACCCATCTGACCCTTCGGACTTGTCGGATTCATCTGACATTTCGTAGTTATTTGACCTTTCAGACTTGTCCGAAACTTCGGACCCAACTGACTCATCTGTCCACTCAGACTTGACTGACCGTTCGGACTAATGTGAGCCATCTAACCTTACGCAGTTATTCGACCCTTCGGACTCGTCGCATCAATTTGATCGCTCGCAGTTATTCGACCCTTCGAACTCGTCATATCCATCTGACCATTCGCAATTATTCGACCTTTCGGACTTGTCAGACCCTTCGGACTCAACCGACCCATCAGTCAGTTCGGACTCGCTGACCCATCTGACTCTTTAGACTCGACTGACCCATCTGAAGTTACGGACTCGTCGGATCCATCCAACCTTTCGCAGTTATTTGAGCCTTCGAACTCGTCTGACCCTTCGGGCTCAATTGCTCCATTTAACCGTTCGCAATTATTTGACCCTACACATTCATCAAACCCATCTGACCATTCGTACTCGACTGACCCATCTGACCTTTCGGACTCGTCGGACCAATATGATTTTTCGCAGCTTTCGCAGTTATTCGACCCTTCAGAATCGATCGACCCATTTGACGTTTTGGAAACGTCTGATCCACCTGACCTCTCGCAGTTATTCAACCCTTCGGACTCATTTGACCCATCTGACCGTTCGCAGTTATTTGACCCTGCAGATTCATCAAACCCATCTAATCATTCGTACTCGACTGATACATCTGATTTTTCAGACTCATCGGACCTAACCGATTTTTCACTGTTATTTGACCCTTCGGACTCGATTGACCCTTCGGAAATGTCGGCCCATCTGACATTTCTCAGTTACTCGACCATTCAGACTTATCGGATCGATCTGACTATTAGCAGTTCTTTGACTCTTAGGACTCGGCTGACCAATCTGGCTTTTCGCAATTATTTGACCCTTCGCACTCTTCGCACTGACTCATCTGTCCATTCGGACTCGACTAACCCTACTGACTTGGCTGATCCATCTACCCTTTCAGACTTAATTGATCCATCTGACCCTTCTGACTCGGCTCACTTTTCTAATCATTCAGACTCAACTGACCCATCTGTGCATTCGCCCTCGACTGACCCTTCTCACTCGGCTGACCCAGTTGACCCTTAGGTCTCGACTGACTCATATGACCTTTCGCGGTCATCTGATTCAGCTGACTCTTTGCACTCGTCTGAGCCCTCGAACTCATCCAGCTCTTTGAAATCACGTAACCATTAAGATTTATTTGACCCTTCGAATTCGTCTGATTCTTGGGATTCACCTGACCCTCATTTCATACATATTCACCACAGGTTACATCAACTATTTGATGCATTTGATTTGATTAATACTAGGACGGAAATAAAGCTAAATCAAATCCTTGCTGAAGTGATTCCGTGAGTATTGAAAAACAAAATAAAATAACCCTGTGTCAAATACACAAATTGGAACAGTTAGACAAATAATATTGTCCAACTCTTCCCTAATTGAATTCATAATGATCTCGTTATTATTTCCATAATTTTATCGACCCAATTAATTCAATTGTATCCACAATTATATCCGCAAAAAAAATATATTTCCAAAAATTTTGTAAAAGTTGTCCAAAGATAAAGGTATCGTTAAAGACAAAAATATCTTCTAAAGACAAAAATGTTTTTGAAAGACAAAAAAATTTTCAATACATACAGTCATCTTTTGAAGACAAAATAATCACCGAAATACAAAGATATCCTCAGTAGACAAAAAAATCTTCGAAATATAATTATATCTTCAATAAACAACGAAATATTTTTCAGACTAAAGAGTCTTCACAAGACACATTTTAATCTCTCGAAGACTTTGAACAAAAAATTATCCAAAAACTTACGAAAGATCTTGACAAAAGAGAAAAGTCTTTGGACAACTTTAGAATTATCTACAAGGGCGTCACATTGCAGATTTACGCAAGGTCTTCTCAATTTGTCTCTCCGAAATCTTTAAAAAATCTTGACAAGATTTTAATATTTCTATCCGGGTAGATATAAGAAAACTTTTCCAGTGAATATGAGTTTTGCAGCAATCATATTCGTCGGAAATTTTCTTTGGGCATGTGATGCACTCTTATTTTTATTATAACGGCCATAGGCAGAGTTCCGCGGACACGAGGCACAGCACCGCAGCCATGAAGCACTATCTTATAACAGAAATGACAATCTTTATTAACAATAAAAGACTTCCATGTGGACAATTTACCTAGCTGGTACTGTCAGCATAAACTTCGCTTTCTTTAAGTATTTCCATAGTTTCCTTTAGAACGAGATTCTACTATCAGAAGTTCGCTTTCTGTGTGATTTCACCGATGCAATTATTGTCCGATGTTTCATCCCTAGAGACCGTTCAAATTAACATCGAGTTGGCGTCGTTTTTTAAAACATTTTTTGTGGCGTTTGAATTTTTCTATTTCGTCAATCAATTTAACCATCCCGACAAATAATTGAAGTGATTATAAGATATGTAATCAAAAGATTATCAGTTGTAATACCACGAGAGCTTCAAAATTATCGAGTATTTCCCGATAGGTTCGTTGCAAACAAATGAAGGAGTCAAGTTTTTCAGGTATAAAAATCACGAGCGCGAAGCTCACAGTTGTCAAATACAAATTTCCTGTTATCCTGTTAAATCCTGTTAACGGAAAATTGGGATGAGAAAATAATCATATAAATATTGACGACAGCACGGTCAGCATATTTAAGCTTAGGCGCTTATTCGATTGAGCTGCGTGAAAAAAAGGGGCGGACCGTAAGGCCTCAAGTAATTCTGGTGATTAAAAAACTTCAGGAGTTTTTGTTCATTTCAATTATTTATTCTAGACCACGGTTTTGTGGCAGAAATTGGTAGAACAATATTCCCTCTATATGCTGATCCTTTTTTCTGTTCAGTTGAATCAGATGAATTCATGACGTTGATTTTCATTGCTTTTACCCCATAAACAACGATGGTTTCAAATCAATTTAGGTGTCTGCCGGTTTGAATCATGTTTAAACATTTCGATTTGTGGTTCAAGGCATCTTTACACATCGATTGGTATTTTTTAATGAACAACCGAGTTAATTTAGAGTCTATAAACATCAATTCTATCGATAATTTGCCAAAAAAATAAAATTATGAATTTTTGCCATATATGGATGTGGAATATCCATAAACTGAGGCTTGTACGAATTGATCATTCATTTCACTCTCTTAATACATTTTATTATTAAATTTACTTTTAACAAAATTTCATTGGTCACTGTTTGAAAGTCAAATTTCCATACTGGTGAAAATTCAAAAACCCGCCAAAGTTCCACTGAGTAATATATTTATTCCAGCCTTCGATGAACAATGTGTATGACAATAGAATAAATTTCGTTACACTCTCGGTGGACCAAAGATAAATCCAACAAGTCATACTACAGTGTTGACTTGTCAGGTGTAGATGTAACATAATTGTTTCAGGCTTGCAATAAGGCCAGGGGAATAATTGACAAGACTTATTGCAATGCTTAATAGAGCAAAAGGATCAGGCTTGAATTATTCCTGACGTACCAAACCTTGGTACCCCGATCTTGGAACACTCTCTAATGAATTATCAATATTGATATTTCTCGCCTGGGTCATAGATTTTTCAAAATATCACAGCCATGAGAACGAAAACATCCATTTTTTGTCATTTTTAATGGAAGGCACATTCATTTTTTGTCCACTATGATTACCAATATGTTTCCTACTTATAATGGCAAAATAATGTCGATGAAACATTGAGTTAAAAAAACGGTTTGCACACATTAAAATTAACTGATTAGGTTAACTGAGAAAAATATGTTTCAGCTGGATACTTTACATATACTATTCAAATATTCAACATTGCCACTTTGTTTGTCTCGACATTTCCATCAAACATTGCTTACCTGTATTTTTTTGAGCAAATGCCCTTGTTAAAAGTAGAAAGGACAGGATGATAATGACCATCTTTCCTAATTATGGGCTTATGAAGCAGAAATGTTATATATGATTTCACTAGATTCCAGCAGCGGACTGACTTCAATCAGGCAACACCCAACTACCACCTCCATCTCAATCCCCTCTACTTTCTTCTGGAGTGGATTAAAAAAAATATATTTTATGGCACGTATATGACTTTTCCCAGGAATCTTCACTAAAGTCACTAGAATTCTATAAAAATATATAAATGTGGAAAATGCATATTATCATTCAAGTTAACTCTTTACAATTCAGGATAGTTTGATTATACGCGCCGAAAGCATTAATTTTAAAATACGGGATTTAAAACATAATATGGTAGGTTCCCAATTCTGTAAATAATGAATTCACAAAACAAAATTGTAACTTCGCAACTGTATATCATAAACTTGTAAATTACTAGCTCTGACCTAGTAAGTTGTAAATTGAAAAATTGGAACTGGATTTTGAAAACTGTAAGCGGCCGTAACCATTCGACCTCCTGATTTACGTTCACATAATTTACTATCTGAAACCAACAAAATACCTGATTGCGATCCTAAATGCAGCGGTAGAGATAAAATACCTTTTTCTGAGACAATAAAAATTCTGTTCATTTCAGATGCTTTTTTGTCGTCACCTGAAATTAAGTTTCCGCGACACTTTTGAAACCATTTTTTAAACCATCTAAAAAATTTTTGCTCAAAGATTTGTGCAAAAAATCCTTTTTTGAGAATGAAAAAACATCTATATTTCAGTAGATTCCGAATATTAACAATTGTAATTGAGAAACTGGTTAAATAATATTTTTGGTACTTATGATATTTTCATTTTTGTCATTTTCTCATTTGTTATAGACCCGAGCGGTTGGGTTCGATATTAGGGATAGATCACTTGCAGATAATTAGAAATTAATATCTCTCAAGGAGATTC